TGAAGGCTCCAGCTATAATAGTGGCTTGTCTGTTTCTTCTTACAGTTCTGTCAGTTTTTACCACACATATTTTGATGGCCTGTTGTTAGGCATATACACATTAAGGATTATTAGGTTTTTCTGGAAAATTGCCTCTTGTTATGTAGTGCTCCTCTTCATCCTTGGTAACTTTCCTTGTTCTGAAGTCTTCTGTGTCTGAAAATAACTACTCTCACTTTTTGGTTTTCTTGGCATATACACACACTTCTCGGATCACATGGGGTTGTGTCCAGATAGACCCATTGTAAGTTGAAATATCATGTCAAAAAATGTATGTAACAACATACTGTAGTGCTATATGAATATTGATATGTATAACAGTGGAATGAAAAATAGACAAGTTTTTAGACCAGCCTAAGTGTCATTTAACAGATGAGTAAGTAATTAAGGAAAATGTAGTATATACATACAATGGAGGGTTTTTTTTTAACATTTATTTTATTTTATATTTTTAGTTGTAGTTGGACATGATACCTTTATTTCACTTACTTATTTTTATGTGGTGCTGAGGATCGAACCCAGGGTCTCGCACGTGTGAGGCGAGTGCTATACCTCTGAGCCACATCCCCAGCCCCAACAATGGAGTTTTATTCAGTCATAAAGAAGAATAAAATCATGCCATTTTCTAGTGAGTGGATAGAACTGGAGAATATGATGCTAAATAATAAGCCAGACTCTGAAAGTCAAGGGTCAAATGTTTTCTCCATATGTGGAAGCTAGAGAGAAAAATGAATAAAAAAGGACCTCATGAAAATGATGAGAGACCAGTAGAGTAAGAAAGGGATCAAGCCAGAGAGAAGACSGGAGGGAAAACGAGAGGTGGAGAGGAGGGAAGAAGAGAGGGAAAGGGGAGGTATGTTATGTGCATGTACGAAAATGTCACAGAAAGCCCAATATTGTATACAATTATAATGCACCAATAAAAACAATGAAAAATGTACTTAATTCAGCTAACTTACTGAACATCATAGTTAGAAGCACAGTACACTGTTGAGTATCAGTTGTTTACCCTTGTGATTGTGTGGGAGACTGGGAGCTTATACTTGTTGCTGCTGCCCAGCATCATGAGAGAGAGTTGTATGGACATGTTGTAAACTCCAGAAAAAAACAAATTTGAAGTGCAGTTAGTACTAAATGTGACCAAAAGTTTAAAAATTGTAAGTTAAACTTTTTTTTAGTAAGGGACCATCTGTATCTCTTTCTCCATCCTTTTATTTTTAATTTATATATGTCTTTATAAAAAAGTGAGTTTCTTATAGACAGAATATAATAGGGTATTGTTTTTTGATCTATTCTGATAGTCTTTTGTTTGGTGTAGTATTTACACCATTTAAAGTGACCAGCCTAATTCATCAATTAATATTGATGAATTACTATTTACCATGTTTGTTACTATTTTCTTTTTGTTGCCCTTGTTCTTCGATTCTATTTTTGTTTTCCATACTTTTTTTTCTTTTTGTAGTTTCCTTCCTTCCTTCCTCCTTCCTTCCTTCCTTCCTTCCTTCCTTCCTTCCTTCCTTCCTTCCTTTCTTTCTTTCTTTTTTTTTTTTTGGTATCTGTCATTGATTCCAGGGGTACTTAACCACTGAGCCACATCCCCAGTATTTTATTTAGAGACATGATCTTGCCAAATTACTTAGGGCCTCACTGAGTTGCTGAGCTTGTCTTTGAACTTGTAATCTTTCTGCCTCAGCCTCCTGAATGGCTGGGATTACATGCACCACTGCGCCTGGCACCTTCTGTAGTTTTTAATTGTGTTTTGTGATTGCATCTTATCTCTTTTCTTGGCATAGTTATACTTTCTAGACTTTCAGTGGTTGCTGTAGAGGGTGAAATGTACATTTACAACGAATCCAGTTTTATTTTCAAATAACATGGTATAACTTCATGGGTAGAGCAAGTGCCTTATAAAAAATACCACTGTTTTCTCTCTACCATTCCTTGTAACATTGCTGTCATTTATTTTACATATGTATAATCATACTTAAGGAGATGTATATATATATATATATTTATACACAGGTACATAAAGAATACATTCCTGCTATTTTAAATAAATTTATGTCAGAACAATTGAATAAGAAAAATTTTTTTACTTTCAGATATTTCATATCTCCAATGCTATATCTTTCTTGAGGTAAATTCAAGTTTATGACCTATTTTCCATCTCTGCAAAAAAAAAAAATACTCTTATCTTGTAAGACAAGTGTTGGTAACATATTACTTCAGTATTTGTCTGAGAAACTATTTCTTTCACTTTTAAAGAAAATTTTAGAGTACAGGATTCTAGGTTGGCAGTTATTTTCTCTAAACACTTTAAATTTTTATGTTACTCTTTGTCTTGCTTGGTGATTTCTGAAAAGTCAGATGTATTTGTTTTACTGTCATAAGGCATTTTTTCCCCACTGGCCTGTGCAAGTTTTTTTTTTTTTTTTTTTTCAAATCTTTGATTTTTCTGCAGTTGGAATGTGCCCATGTGTAGTTTTCTTGACATTTATTTTGCTTAGTATTCCCAGAGCCTCCAGGGTCTTTTTGATGTCTGACATTTGGGAGAAATCTGTTCTTTTTTTCTCCTTCTGGTGTTCCCATTATTTGTTCTTAGATATTCTGTCCCCCTACCCCCGCCCCCAGTCTTTTTGGTTTTAGTTTTCAGTTTTGGAAATTACTATTTACAGACCAAACTCAGGTTGTAGTCTACTAGTGAGTCCATCAAAGACAGCCTTTATTTCATTTGTATAATTTTTGATCTCTAGCATTTCTTTTTGATTCTTTCCTAGAATTTTGTCTCTCTGCTTACATTTATTTTTGCATGCTGTCTACTTTTTTTCATCAGAGCCCTTAGCATATTAACTATGGTGTCAAAAATTCTTAGTCTGATAATTCTAACATCCCTGCCATATGTTAATCTGGTTTTCTATGCTCTCTTTTCAAACTGTTTTTGCCTTTTAGTATGATATGTAAATTTTTTTTGAGGTGAGGTGCTGAGGAACTCAGGGGCACTTAACCACTGAGCCACATCCCCAGCCTTATTTTTTTTTGTATTTTAATTAGAGACAGGGTCTCACTGAGTTGTTTAGTGCCTTGCTAAGTTGCTGAGGCTGGCTTTGAACTTGCAGTCCTCCTGCCTCTGCCTCCTGAGCCTCTGGGAGTATAGGTGTGGGCCACCACATCAGGCGATATGTAAATTTTTGATGTATGGAAAATAGAAACTCACTTCAGACGTTTAGATGGCTCTTAAATAGGCCTTAATAGTGTGGTAGTGAGATGTGATGGGAGCAGAAGTGTATTATATTTCTATGATTAGGTATGTCTTTTATTGAGCCTGTGCCTCTGGACTGTGAACTTTACAAATGCTTTTCAGTATTTCCCCCACATAGTGAGGGTGTTTCTCTTTCCTCAGTTAGAAAGGTAGAGGGGACTAGAGCTGGGAATCACTCTTACCTTAATCTCTGGTAAAACTTATTTAGTTAGGCCCTAGTAAAATAGTTTGTCTTCAAAGCAGTCCTTGTTGAGAAGAGCAAAGTGCTCTGGTGTGTTTCAAAATGGTTCCCTCTCTCCCTTTCTTGCCACTAGCACAAGAAGATTTTTCTCATATATTCACTGTGAAATCCACTCTAATTCTTACAAAGATGTGGGGATTCCCTTATGATTTGGTTCTGCGGATTTTAAACTCACTCTTGTCCTGTGAACCTTCAGCAATTTGTCGGTTTACATTTAGATTTTCCAACCTGGCTTTGATTCCTGTGGAGCTTAATTCTGCTTGTGCTGAGTTGTGATTCTCTGCATCTGCTTGTCTCTCTAATTTTGGGAGTCAGTGGTTTGCTCTGTAAGCTTCTTCCCAGAAAGATCTAAGAAGAGTTGTTARTTTTTCAATTTGTTCAATGTTTTACTTGTTGGGAAGGAGTGATGGCTTCCAAGCTCCTACATGCCGGATTGGAAACCAGAAGTACTTCCTTTATTTTATGTGTCCATGTCTTTACTATGCATGGTGTTCACTAGTTCAGAAAAGCTTTGCTTTACTTAAGGAAAACACACCTTCACTTTTTTTTTTTTTTTTTTGCTACATTTGGGGAGAGGTAGTTGCAAGTGGTCTTCTATAAGGAAGATGAAATAGTGAACTACTACATTTCAAAGAGCTTTTATTGATTTTTCCTAATTTTAAGACCTCCTTCTTTACTTTCATTACCATTCTTTCTGCTAACCATTTTGCAGCCTTCTGAGAATTCGGTGGTATATGGAGGCTAGTTATAATAATATATGATTATGTGATTCATATAATATATGATTCTCCCCTTTGGGTCCTCTATATAGATTATCATATATATGTGTTGTTATAAAGCTTTTGGAATATAGTTGCTATTAATCACATCTCATGTTTTCCATGTGCTTGTGTGTTTGTCTTTTTAAAAATCTTTTCATAATTAAGGGAGAAAGCTAAATTAGATGATTGTGTTCATTATACCATTACCTCTGTTGATGTTTTTAATATGTTTAGGAAAAATATTTGCAGTTTTTTTTTCTGTCCTTTAGTTCCCTCTTCCACATTCTCAAAAACAAAACAAAAACAAATTCAACATTTGGATAGAGATCTGTGCCTAACTTGTGTCCCTTCATTGACAAGTAAAGCTAAGAATTTTTTGATAATGAAAATAATGTTTCTTACTTTAGTCCTTCTATTTGCAAATGGGGATAGACCTGTATAAAACTTGCTTTAATAAAGAAAAATAATGTTCTATTTTAAGTGAAAAGCAAATGAAATGTAAATGGGGAAAATTTGTGTTAGTAAAGGTGCTCCTTCTTCTTTTAAAGGTAGACATAAAACTCTTACTAACCAGACTGCTGGCAACTATTTGGGTTTTTTGTTGATGCTTGATTATACCACAATTTGATGATTTGAATATAATTATGATTTTTAAAGACATTTAAAATAATGTTTCTGTAATTCCTTTTGCTATCTGCAGAGAAAGCAACCAGTGAGATGAATACTGCTGAGGACTGGGGCCTCATCTTGGATATCTGTGATAAGGTTGGCCAGTCTCGTACTGGGTAAGTGTTCAACATTTCAAAAAGTTTTTATTCATTCTTTTTTGTAAACATGAAGAAAAGGATCAAGAGGTAAAATATTAAAAGTTAGTTTAAAAAGAGAATGTTTTTACTAGAAATATTTGAAGTCTCATCCCATTTAGGTTTAACCAGTTAGACTGACATGAGTGGTAAAAAATTGGGTTCAAATTTTGGTTGTAACTACTTAGTTACGTCACATTGGATAAGCAACTTGYCCTTCTGGCCTACCTTTTGTAGTTTACCACATAGAATTGAAAGTAGTAYCTTCTTCATGGGGGGATTGTTGTTCATTTGTGAGATTAATTAATATATAAAGTGTTTCTAATAGTGCTTGGCCTGTAGTTAAATGTGTATAACTCTTTCTGCTTTTGATTAAAATCATATTTTGCTCCATTTTGTCTGTTGAGGCCTGGGTATGGACCAATATCTCTGTATGTTTTAGAGATAAAAGTTTATCTAATATAAACATAACAGTTGCAGAGTCCTTCTCTTTTCATTCTGTTGGTTTTCATTTTATCTTTACTTTGGTATTTTTTATTCTGTAAATTTTTTTGGGGGGGCTGTAATAATTTGGTCAGTTTTTTAAAATCAAAAGATAAACTCCCTTTTGTTACCAGAAATAATCCTTTTTTTTTTTTTTTTTAGTAAAAAAAATAATTCGTAAGTGAACTTCAGGGTGCATGCCTATAATCCCAGTTACTTGGGAGGTTAAAGCAGGAGGATCGCAAGTTCAAGGCCAGCCTGGAAAAACTTAAACTTTGTCTTAAAAGAAAAAGTGCTAGGGGGGGGCTAGGGCTGTATCTCAGTGGTAGAGGCACTGGGTTTGATCCTCAGCACCACATAAAAATAAATAAATAAAGATATTGTGTTCATCTACAACCAAAAAAATATATATTAAAGATTTAAAAAAGGGCTGGGGATGTGGCAGTAGTGGTAGTGTGCCCATGGTTTCAATCCCTGGTACCAAAAATCAATGAATGAACGAATAAATGAATTAATTAATTTGTAACCTATATGAAATTCTATATGATGTAGAATAAATGTCAATTTGTTTTTCTTCATGTTAGCATTATTATACAAAGAAGTGTTCATTAGATATTCTTTTCCATATTTTTTTCTCACATATTTGAGATTTTGGAATTTGTAGATGTAAAAAAAATTCTTTTGTCTTTTTGCATTTTGTTTTTATTTGGATAAGTCTTCATTTTTTAATTTTTTCAAATTTATTTTTAGTCTGCCTGCTTTTTTTCCCCTCACAATATTTTTTTTTAAAATTTTTTTGTTGTAGATGAATACAATCTATTTATCTATATCTATCTATCTATCTATCTATCTATTTATTTATTTATATGTGGTGCTGAGGAATGAACCCAGTGCCTGACTTGTGCGAGGCAAGCGCTCTACCACTGAGCTATAGCTGCAGCCYTCATAATATTTTTTTAATATTTGAATTATACCATTTGGGGATTTTAATTGAGGTTATACTAAATTCATGAATTTACTCAGGAAATATTTTCAACTTTTGTAAGTTACATAATGAGGGAGGTCTGTTTGGTTTTTTTTTGTTTTTGTTCTCCTTTATTTCCTTCTTTCTTCTTTTTCTCCTCCCACTTATTTTTCTCTTAAGAGTTATTGGTGCCTAGCTTGGCACAGTGGTGCCCACCTGTAATCCCAGCTGCTTGGGAGGCTGAGGCAGGAGGATCACGAGTTCAAAGCCAGCCTCAGCAAAACCGAGGTCCTATGCAACCCAGTGAGACCGTGTCTCTAAATAAAATACAAAATAGGGCTGGGGATGTGGCTCAGTGGTTGAGCGTCCCTGAGTTCAATCCCCAGTACCACACACACACACACAAAGTTACTGGTGTCTAGTTCTTTTAAATCCTCATTAAGTTAATTTCCAAACATTTATTTATTTGTTTATATAAATGGAATATCTCTTTGTAGTTCTTGTTAAAAAAGAGTTGTTTGAAAAGAAATAATTGATACCATTTTTAATTACTGAGGTTTTTAAAAAAATGTCTGGCCCAAATTGTTCATGTAGGCGATTTTTCTTTAAGGTTACTGTTTTGCATACATATCCAATTATCTTTCTATTTTCTTGGTGTACCTGGATATTCTCATATTAGGAAGTGGAAAACTTAAGCGCTACACTATGACTTTCCTGGATTGTAGGCATTTTTGCTTTCAAAGGCTCCCTTAAAATAAAAAAGCACGAATGCTTTATTATAAAGAAAAATATATATGTTATATATTAAAGCATGTTTTTTGATGCAAAGGGTTTTTTTGTTCTTATTTTAGAATAATTTAAAACATTTTTGTGTGCTTCTAAAATTATTTGAGCTCTAGAAACTGTGCCTACATGCCTAATATATAAACATTACAGATTTGGCTTATAAATTCCCATAAGAGTTTAATAATACAAAATTTTAAAGAATCTTTTTAGCACTGTACTGTGGGATACTTTTATTCTTAATATGTTACTTGTTTTCAATTCCCTTTTTGTGGTATATATAAAACGAACGCATATAATAACTTACCTTTTTACTCTTCTAAAGTGAACAGTTCAGTGGCATTAAGTACATTCACACTGTGCAGATGTTACCATTTTCCATTTCCAGAACTACTTCATCTTAAAATGAAACTATAATTATGTCCACTAAAGAATAACTTTCCCCGACGCCAGTCTTTTTTTACCAGTTGTAMTTTTTAAATCATGTTGTAATTAGTGTATATGGAAGACTTAATGGAGATCTGACTTATTTAGGAAGTTGTATAGATATGTTTAGATATAGGTTGCTGATGGTAGCATAAGAATATTAAACAGTACTATAAGTTGTAAGTGAGATATTCTAGATGCTTCTTGTGCTTTAGAGGAGACCGGAACAGGAAATTGCATTTTCCTAACATATTCAGTTTAGGGTAGTTTGAAATAGAGGGAAGTTGTGGGTTGAAATGCGGTTTATAAGGTAATTGAGTATTAAACAACAATCTGGATTTTAAAAAGATTATTGTTGCCCTTTAATATTAGCTTGAAGTTTTATAAAATACAGAGAGATATTTAAGAAGACTGCTTCAGGGATGATAAAGGGACGTAAGGGAAAGCAGTTCTTTTTCAATAATTTTCTCTTTTTAATAAATAATTTGTAATGAGTGATATATAGTAGAATTATTTAAAGTCTAAATAAAATTAAGTACTTCATATTAATTAAGCTTTTTTCCCTGTATTTTTCTCCSTAATCTCACCCCTAGCCCTCTTTTGAAGCTGCTTTTGAATTTTGGTAATTTAGAAAATATTCTCAGGTATAAAGAGGGAGCCAACAGTCATTATTGCGAAATTTCATTTAAAGTATGTATCCCCACTTCCCTCTTTTTTTTTGTTGTGCTTGTGCTGGGGAATGAACCCGGGCCTTGTATGTGCAAAGCAAGTACTTTACAATTGAGCTACACTTCCTCCACTCCAGTGTTTTGTTGTGTTTCAGATAGCATTTTGCTCAGTTGCAGAGGGTGACTTTGAATTTGGTGATCCTCCTGCCTTAGCTTCCTGAATTGCTGGGATTATGGGTATGCACCACCATGCCTGTATGATGTATTCTTTTAAAAATAAGTATATATTCACATGGCTCAAAAATTAAAATAATTAAAAAAATATGAAAATTAACAAATCCAATTTCTGTTCCTGTTTCCCATTCCCTATAGATAACTACTTGTATTTCTTYGCGTTGTTTTTTTTCCTAATGTGAATACATTTTTCCTCATTCATATAAAATAAGCATATTGTATATACATTTATTACTTAATTTCTTAATATATCCTGTCAATATTAGAAATGTATTTCTTTTAATGTCTATAAGTATTGGACAAATTTAGAAATCATTTTTTAGTTTAACATCAGTTTTGGTTAGTGCCATACAGGGTTTTTTACATACTTCAATAATTATTAAATAAAAATTATTAAATACAAATTATTTAATAATTTTTGTCATTATGTCAATCTCAAGAAACTGAGTAGATGCAATCCTTATTTGCTTCATATAAGTTATAGTTTTTTTCTTTTAAAGCTTGARATAKTTGATTGTGCTGAACTGAAAACTTTTAAAAAACATTCTGAAAAAATTTTCAGACTCCTTAGGATATTCACATGATTTTTGGTGTGCAGTTCCAGTTTATGAGTAAGTAGTGAAGAATGCCAATTAGGTCATATGATGAATTGAACAGTCTCTGTTTGTTTAGAATCAAGAGAACCTTCAGAATCATAGTAGCAATTTTCTTTAACAAGTCTTCACTTAATAAATAGCTTTATTTTTCTGTTACTTTGGATTGGTGTATGATTTCATATGCAAAAATAGATTTGTGGGGGTAGGTATTGATTATCCATAATAATAATAAGTTGAGATTAAAGTTGTGTAATTGAACTCTTTATTAAGTTCTACTGTTTTATATGTTAATTGTTTTTACTTAGTATTAGATATAATTGACAAAAGGTGGAAAATATAATGTAACTCTTCTTTATTTGCCTAGTGGATGGATATGTTTGGTAGTAAATCTTTGAATTATTCACACAGAATTAGAAGGATAAAATCAAAGTTATTACTGATATTTTGTGAAACACATAAATGCAAGTCTTTGGGGAGAAATTTGTTAAAAAATTTGTAACTCTGTATTGTTTGAATTGAACTATAACTGTCTCTGACCTTCAACTGGACGGTAATAGAATATTTTTTGATTTTGTAAGGAAAACATAGTCTCTAATCATCTTATAGTTGCAAGGGCGACATCAGGTAGAGAAACAGATTTAAAAATTCTTTTTTAGGCTGTGATCATATTCTTGATCTATGAGGCCTCAATTTTCAAAGGTCTTCTAAATGCTCTTTTAAGAGTAATGAGTAATGTCTGACATTTATTGACCACTTATTATTTGCCATGTACTGTTTAAGTGGCCCTGTACACGTTTAATCATCACAGCCATTGTAATTTAGAGTAAT